CTGGAAATTTCTAGGCAAATATGAGAATTTACATATTTATTTAAATTCATGGGATTCTATATGACCTGTTCAGTGTGTGTGTTTTTTTTTATTCTTCTGCATGAGTTTTTAGGATATCTTTATATAGTAACATATATGAATTCTACCTTCTTTTCAGTATCTACATAGTATTTAATTGTATGCTAGTCCCACAATATAGTTAAATGACAGTCACTTAGGTTATTTTTTTTTGTATTTTGCTATTACAGTGATATAATTAACACTTGTGTGCATAGATCTTGTCAACTCGTATGAACTTACCTGTGGAATAAATTTCTAAAAATGTTGGCACGAAGTGTATGCACATTTAAAATTTTGATATTGCCAAATACCTACACACATTGGTGGGGGTGCCTCCTGTTTTCTTATGTCCTCACACCATTATCGAGGTTGTTTTTCAGTTTTGTTTTTTGTTTTGTTAATCCTCACCCGAGGAAATTTTTTCCAGTGATTTTTTTTTTTTAGACAGAGTGGAAGGAGGGAAGGAGGGAGAAAGAAAGAGACTCAAACATCAATATGAGAGAGACGCATCGCACCCCGACTGGGGCTAGGGATTGAAACTGCAACCCAGCTACACCCAGGTACATGCCCTTGACCTGGAATTGAACCCACGACCCTTTGGTGCCCGAGCAGAGGTCTAAACCAGGGGTGGGCAAACTTTTTGACTCGAGGGCCACAATGGGTTCTTAAACTGGACCGGAGGGCCGGAACAAAAGCATGGATGGAGTGTTTGTGTGAACTAATATAAATTCAAAGTAAACATCATTACATAAAAGGGTACGGTCTTTTTTTTTTTTTTTTAGTTTTATTCATTTCAAACGGCTGGATCCGGCCCGCGGGCCGTAGTTTGCCCACGGCTGCTCTAAACACTGAGCCAAAACAGCCAGGGCTCAAGGTTGTTTGTTTGTTTGTTTTTTATAACCTTTACTATCTGATGGACAAAAGTGATACGTAATTATTATGTAAAATTAAAAAAGAATACAGTACATTTTGTAGCTTCTTTAGTCCACGGCCACGCATTGCTAGTAGTTGCCTTGGTGGGCTGGCATTACTGAGCAGATCAGAGTGAATTGTGCAACCCTGTGTTAGAGTCCTGCTCTTGCAGTTTTGTTTTGTTTTTGTCATCGCCTTTTTTTTCGGAACTTGCACAGTGGGAAATAATTCAGGCTAGCCCTTGAGATGTGAGCGTGGGAAGTGGCCAGTGCACTGTAAATCACAGTGCAGATGTTGGATGTCGTTTATCTCATGCCCAGGTGTGAATTCCACCCCCTGTGGGCTTGCTGGCTCTACATGCCACTGTGCCCTGTTTTTTTGGTGATCAGAGTGTCCTCTGCTCCCACCTGGCTTGTAAAGGAAGCAGAGGGAAGTCAGCTGGAGCCCCCAGAGTTCATGACCTGCGCAAGGTGACGCAGTGGCCGAGCTGTGAGGAGAGCGGAGCCCCACCTGGTCAGTTCTGGCGCCCACTCACGTTGCCCGGAGTCGGGGCGGATCTAGGCTGAGTGATGTGCCCGCCTCTCTAGGGGCATCTGTTTCCTGAGCTTCCGGTAACTGCTTCAGCCCCTCGCCTGGGAAGGGAATTTGTCTCATCTTTCAGCCCCATTGGTGGCTGTGAGGACAGAGCTGCCCACGCAGAGGAAGCCACACTGTCTCTCCCTTCCCTCCTGCCCCCAAAGGCCGGCAGACACAGTGGAGGGGTCGCTGGCCGGGGCCCGGGCTGCCTTGTCCCCTCTGATCCCAACCGGCTTTCTCGGTCTATGTTCAGAGAGCTGGGCGGGTGCCCTGGAGCTCTGCCCTGGGGCTGGGACTCTGGCTGGGACTTGCCCCTTCAGCTGGTACTAGGAGCACCCACAGGCCTCCACCAGGGAAGCCAGGGCCTTGTGCCTGGGAGATTCAAAGTCGGCTCTGAGGAGTGGCAAGGAGCGGCCTCGGGAGGGAAGGAGCCTGCCTGGCCAGGTGTTGGGAGACTTTCCCACTTGACCACTGTTCTCTTCCAGCTGCTGAGCTGAGCGTTGCCTTCTCAGGGCCTCAGATCTTCCATCTGTGAATGGGCACGGCACCCACTGTGCATCTCTGTAGGCGTCAGAGTCAACGGGGCAGCGTGCGTGGCTGGTCGGCCCCACTGCAGCAGATCACCGTGTGGAACCACGGTTGGGAACGTGGGCCCTGGAGTTAGACCCAGCCGTGCCACCATCACGCCGGCTCGATTTTGTCAAGGTCCTTAACCTCTCCGAGCCACGGTGTCCCCGCTGGTACAATGGGGGTAACGGTGGTGCCATCTCACAGGTGGTTGTGAGACTGAAATGAGCTGGGCTGTTAGGGGGGTGCTGGTCCACGGTAAACTCACACACGTCTCCGCCCTGACCTCCCGCGTGCTGACTCAGCCGAGGCCTGGGAGGAAGCTGGGCTGTGCTTAAGGGGAACAGGAGGGCTGGGCCTGGCTCACAGAGCTTCTCTTTTCTCTTGACTCACAATCTCTCCCTCACTGGCCGCCCCACTCAGAAGAGGGGTCAGAGCAGGGGTGGCAGGAAGCTGGGCAGGACCGAGGGAGGCGAGGGGATCATAATAGATAATAGTTATAACGGCTCCCGTAACGGCGTGGGAGCCCTGTGCTAAGTGTATATGTCCACTTGTAATCTTGTGGGGTTCGTGGCAGCCCCCCTATATTATATGGGAGGGAACGGAGGCCTAGAGAACTTACATAACCTGCTGGAGGGCACGCGGCTCCAAAACTTGGGGGACTGAGTGCTGAGGAGAGGAGAGTGGGGGAGGTGCTAGGATGGCTCTTGCCTCCCTCCAGAACGTATGGAAAACAAATTAAAATCCATCTGTGGCCTCCCTTCTCACTCTCCAGCCCCTAACTCTGGGGAGCTGGGAGGGCATGGGCGCTTCTGGCCTCTCTGAGGTCCCCAGATCTCAGCGGCCTCAAGGAAGTCCAAGATGCTGTGAAGTCTGTGCTCTCCCTCCCCTGGTTTAGCCACCCCGAGTAAGAGTGGGGGAGGACCGTATGCTGGGAGTGAGTCCTGCTGGGTCTGCTTAGGTCTCCTGCCCACCCCTGGGCCAGTCTCTGTGGCCAGGGCGGTGGATGTCCTGGTTGGCCAGGCCTGGCCAGGTGCTCCTCGGGGTGGGAGCAGAGCTGCTTTGCTCTTAGAGAGGCCAAATGGATGCAGGGCAGGCAGGACCCAAGGTGACCATGGTACCTGTTCAGTGTCCCCTGGGTGTGGGACCAGTGTTCTGATACAAGCCCAGAGGGTGAGCCACGGGATCCTTCCCCTCCTGGTCGTGGGGCGGAGGGTGTGGCCTGAGCTGAGGACCACCTGGCCCGGCTGAGAGGCCAGCTGTCCTGAAGGAAAGGACCCCACACTTGCCCCTCACAGCCCTGAGCTGGGTCAGGACCCCGAAGCTGCTCTCACGGCCCATCCAGGCTGCTGCCCGTGCCCCCTGGAGGACTCAAGAAAATAGAAATGTCTGTGCCATTTGTCCACAACCTGGGGGTGGCCCTCTGGCACCACAGCAAGGATCTGACTCCCCAAGTAGCAGCGGCCCCCAAACAGGAAGCTGCGGGGAGAGGGGGCCCGGGAGAGAGGCCATTGGTGGCAGCCGCAGCAGCTTTGTTTCCCTTTCCCTCTGCTTGGGGGCAGGGCAGGGGCCTGGCGCCCCTTCTGTGTCCCCCTGCCCTAGTCTGGTCCAGTGTAGGTGCCACGCCCTCCACGGGCTGTTTCAGTGAGCGCCTACTGTGTACCTGGCATGCTCAGCGCTGGTGCACGAGCAGGTGAGGGCCCGCCTTCAGTCCAGCTGGAAAGAGCACTGCACAGAGGTGCCCCCTCCCACCCTGTTGCATGAAGTGTGGCACTGCTGGCTTCTGCCTAGACACGTGAGGGGGCCTGGGAAGTGCAGATCTGTGCCTGCGTAGGGTACCTGTGAATGTATGTTGCAGGCGTGCGTGCAATCTGAGTGTGTGCCTGGGCTGAGTTCTCCTGCCCACTCCTGAGCCAGTTGATGCACATACGTGAGCATCACATATGATGCATGTATGTGTGTCTTCATCCATGTGTGAGCCTGTGTCTGATGGGGAGTTATCCTATATTAAAAGGATAATATGCAAATCGACCAAATGGCAGAACAACCGGTCACTATGACGCACACTGACCACCAGGAGGCAGACGCTCGATGCAGGAGCTGCCCCCTGGTGGTCAGTGCACTCCCACAGGGGTAGTGCTGCTCAGCCACAAAGCTGGGCTGAGGGACCACCTCCCGACACACACACACACACACACACACACACACACACACACACACCAAGTGCACGAATGTCGTGCACCGGGCCTCTAGTATGTATATAAGATGTGTCATATCTCATATACAGACACATGTGTCCAGGTGTCTGTTAATGAACTTGCATGTGAGTGTGCAGTATCTGTGTACATGTGCGTGCATCTAATGACATGCATGTGAGCATGCATGTGCCTATATGTACTGGTGGAGCATGTGCATGTATGTGCACATGCAGGTGTCCCATGCCACATGTGTGCAGGAATCATTACATGTGTGAAGCTGGCTTTCCTGGTGTGCGCTAAGCCATGGTGGAGCAGGAAGGCAAAGGTCCCATCTAGGACAGTGGGTGTGAGGGGCCCCAGTCTGCAGGGCTCCCCCAGTCTCCCAGCCAGGTCTTCCTCTCCTGGCCTGGCCCAGTGTGGGAGTCCACGGCCCTCCTTCGGGTTCTGGGAAGCCAGGGCTGTTTGGGGCTGAGCTGCCAGCTTGGGCTGTGGTGTAATCTGCTAGCCGAGCCCTTTCCGGAGCTGCGGGTTCCTCTGGGCGTGGGGAAGCTGCCCTCTTCAACCTCCCCTGCTTGTCTCTGTGCCTCCCAGAACTCAGGACACACCTCCTGGCCCTGGGGCCTCACCCACAGGAAGTACAGGTTGGGGGGCAGGCCATGGGGGAGGTGTCACGCTGGGCGCCCTGCCCTACACTGGTGGCCCGCTGACCCTGCTGCACCGAGACCGCCTCGCCGACAGCCCCAGGAACATCGCTTGGACCTGGGGCCCCGCGGCCACAACCATGTTTGGCAGGAAGCGCAGCGTGTCCTTTGGGGGCTTCGGATGGTGGGTGACAGGCTGGGGGTGGTGGAAGGGATGGGGGGACTAGCTGTGCAGTCTCGTTGAGCACTGTGGGTGCCTGTGGGCACAGGGACCTCAGGTTATGCCTGAACCCTGGGTCAGTGGGGGGCACTTTTAGATGCCAGCTGATGGAGATGGAGGATCCTGGCGGGGGCATCAGACACTATAAGCTTTTCCTCGCCGTCTGTTGGGTATAATCTTCTAGGGAAGTTGGAAGGTTGGAGCTGGAGCCAGTGTATGTGGTGACTGGTTGAGTGTGTGTGTGTGTGTGTGTGTGTGTGTGTGTGTGTGAGAGAGATGTGTTCCCATTTATGTGTAGGCACCTCTGTGATGCTTGTGCATGTGTGTGTGCGTGCCTGAGATTGTGCGTGAAGCGTGTGTCTGTGTGTGAGGTGTGTGCCCGGCTGGGAGGGTGTGTCTATGGGTGAGACCACGTGCATGCCCTTTGTTTCCGAGCCGGCGCCAGTCTGTACCTCTGGCGTTCTGTGCCTGTGTGTGTGCTTGTCTGTGCGTGTGTGTAACGCTCCCGTCTGTGTCCTCTTTGTGACTTGGTGGCAGAAGGAGCCTGTGGCCCTCTGACCTTGGGGCTGCCTCCTCTCTGCAGGGGGTGAGCTGTGAGAGGAGGGGGCAGGCCTGAATCTCCAGGTCCCTCCCCTCTGTCCCTCAGCCTGGACAGCCAATCCTAGCTCTGTCCCAGCCTGAGCAGCTGGGTCTGTGCTAAGCCTCTTGCTGGGCGCTCTGGGCCACCTCTTGCCTCTAAGTTACTGCCTGGGACAAGGAATAGGCTTTTTCCTCCGCAGGGGCCAGAACATGGGGAGATGGAGGTCAAAGGCTTGTCTGGTCAGCAGCTGCTGGCAGCGTCTCCTCAGCTGGGGAGCGGGGTCTAGTGGTTTTCATGATCGGTTTCCTTTTAGCTTCTGGGCCTGGGGCGTTGTCAAAGTCAGGTTCCCGCTCTTGTAGAGAGGGTGGCCGGGGGTGTCCTGGTGTAGAAGCTGGTGGGCTATGGGGGGCCCAAGACGTGAGGGAGACCGGGAAGGAGGCCTGGGGGGCTGGGAATGGAAGGGCTCTGTCCTTTGGCTGGTTCCTTGGTCCCATATGCATGCAGCTTTCCGTTTCCCCTTTCCCCTCCCCGAAAGCACTTCGCCTCCCGTCCTCTGGAGGAAGGCCTGTGGGTGCTCCGTGTTTGGCAGGTGAGGACAGAGGAGCTGCCAGGAGTGGCCCAGTGTGGCCTGGTGCCTGCTCATGGGCCTTCCCGACACTCACACCAAGGTCTCCTGTCCTGAGGCTGGGGTTTGTGTTCAAATCCCTAGTCTGCTTCCTGGTCAGGGACCGTGTGCGAGGCTGGGTGGGGATACATGTAGGGCCAGGCCCCGGCAGTGACACGGTGGAGCAGAGAGAGGGACTGTGCTTGGAACAGCGTAAGGGCTTAGGAGATGCTCACGGAATGACTAAGTGAGGCGTTTTGTCCACTTGGTTGGGGACTTGTTGAGCTTGAGAGAATGGCAGGGCTTCCTGGTAGGCTTGGAGGTTTGGGGTCGGTGTCAGCTGGGGATGGCTGTCAGCTGGGAGGGGATATCAGTTGGTTGGGGGCTAATTTACAGCTTCGTGGAGCCTGGTCCACTGCAGACAGTGAGCACAATCTCGGGGGTGGTTACTTTAAAAGCCCCTTTGAATGCCAGAGGTACACCAGGTGGTGGGAGTGAATGGGATGGGGAGACGGTCCTGGGAGAACCTGGGGACTTTGGCTTCTGGGAAGGGAAAAGTCCAGTGTCACAGCCACTGCCCCATCTTCTGTCTCAGCCCTGCCAAGGCCATAGGCCCCGCCCTCCCGGGGCCACGCCCCAGCGTGGGAACCCTGTATGGGTCAGGCTGCTGGGAGGTGTGGATGTGGGGAGGACGGGGTGCTGCGACCAGAGTGCGGGCGGGTGGTGAGGGGGTTGGGCTGAGAGGGTGCCACGCCAGCAGTGCAGGTTTAGTGCTGACTCCACCCTGACTCATTGAGGAACTCAGATGGGACACTTCCCTTCTCTGGGTCTCAGTTTCTCCATGTGTAAGTGGGGGCTTTCTGCCTTACCCACAGCACAGGGATGTTGGAAGAATTAAGAGACTCCTTGAGAAAATGTAAAATGTAAGGGCTTATTGTTCAGGGTTACAAAGAACAGGGTTACAATTCTCTACAGTAGAATTTGGGGATCTGACTCCTGGGTCCAACATACCTTCCAATGGTGGGTTGAATGGGAGAGGAGGAGGGTCGGCATCCCAGAGGGGGTTGGGGGTCAATGAGACCCTGGGGGATCAGTTATGGAAGCCCCAAGGATGGGGTCCAGGAGGCATGTGGAGAAGAAGCTGGAGGGACTTGGGCCAGGAGCCATGGGGTGTGGCTTGTTTTGCTATTGGGAACTGACATAAAAAGGTGCTGGGAAAACAAAGCTTTTGAGGTGTCCCAGGAGCCCTTCTAGAACACCCCAAAGTTATTCCCAGGTCAAGACTCTTACTTATAATTTAAATTTTAGGAAGTTTGTCAAAATATATCAAGAGGTTTAGACATTTGACTAAATAGGATCATAAGTCATGATGAAGCAATCCTTACTCATCCATTTAACCAAAGTGGCAATGAAAGATTTCAAGGAAAATACAGAAGTTGACATAATTGTTAGCAAAATTTAGTTCTTACTATTGAGGGGATTCAGTTTTTAAAAAAATAATCAAGGACCCGATTAAGACAACATAAAACATAAATTATTTTGACAAAATATCGAATCTTTGCTCTCTAGGCAGAAATTTTTTTCACAGTATCAGTAGCAGACCAATAGTCCTTTTAGCAGAGAGAGAAAACCAAACTCTAATTTTGCTTCAGCTTACTTTTGATACCTGCTTACCTTGGTTCACAGTAGTCTTTCCAGATAAGAAACGAAGGTTGCAAAGTAAGAAGCTCAGGATATATTGGGGACCTTGAGGAGAGAGGCATTGACCCCAAATCTATAGGTACTGCAGGCAAAGTCTGATGGCAAGAACGTGGCTTAGCTTCTTAGCCTCAAGAGGACTGTTAACATTCATTCTGAAGATTCCGGAAAAATTCCTGCAAAGCAGATTTAAAAGAGCCGATGTGGTTGACAGTATTCTTGCTGGACTTAGACAAATAATCAGGCCAAGTTTATTGAAACTAGACTTATTTTGCAAATAAATTAGTCTGAATTTGGCTGTTTTTGATAAAAATGAGCGTCATCTTAGAGAGAAGATGGTTCCAGGAGAAACTGTAATGTACTTTGTGGATATTTGGTTCTAGTGCTGTTCATTGTCTTTGCAGTTAAAATTTTTTTTTCTACCTGTAAACTGGCCTGGATCCTGAATGTTTCTAGTTTTCTTAAGTACTTGGCCGCAGCTCTCCAAACTAACATTTTCACCCTCCCATCCATTGGAAACACGGAACTAACACTGCCTGTTTCCCAAGGCCATGCGAGCTCAGGTGGGACAGTTTGATGTAGACGTCAGAGAAATCACCACAACAGCTCCACTCTGGACACTCTGTTCCAGCTGCAAAAGATCACCAGAGACATTCTCACTGAGACCAGGAGGCTCTATCAGACTATGACCGTCACTCCATCGGAAGAGGATTAGAGACAGACATCTAGAAGTCTTGACTGCCTGCTTTCAAACCTAGAAACCAAGATTATAAGTCTGCTCGATCATTAACCTTTGTTTTTCTTTTGTTTCCATAGAAATGCCTCTTATTATATACTAGAGGCCCGGTGCACAAAAATTCGTGCACTGGGGTGGGGGGGGGTCCCTTCAACCGGGTCTGTGCCCTCTGCCAGTTGGGGACCCTTGGGGGATGTCCACCTGCCAGCTTAGGCCTGCTCCCCCAGGGGGATCGGGCCTAAGCTGGCAGTCAGACATCCCTCTGGCAGCCTGGGAGCCCTCTAAGCCATTAGTCGGACATCCTTAGCATTGCTGTGCTGGCCAGCCATGAGCCGGCTTCTGGCTGAGTCACGCTCCTCCGTGGAAGCGCACTGACCACCAGGGGGCAGCTCCTGCATTGAGCGTCTGCCCCCTGGTAGTCAGTGCGTGTCATAGTGACCGGTTGTTCTGCCGTTAGAGTCAATTTGCATATTACCCTTTTATTATATAGGATTTGATTGCTTGCAAAAAAATTAAAAAAGGGTGCTGGGAGTTCACTCAGAGTGAAAGGATCCTTCCCCCAACTTGGTGCTGATTTGTGATTGCTGGGACCTCCCTTAAAAGCTTTTAGGAGCACCCCGTCTGAACTTTCCCCTCTGAACTTCCACCACATGGCCCTGAGACCACTCTCCTGCCCCCAATGGCCCCAGCAGTCAAGTATATGGGAAGAAGCTTGTGGCAGATCTGAGCTGGATGGACCGGGGTGGCTGAAAGAACTTTCCAGGGCTTTAAGCATCTTGTAGGTGTGGTGATTTTGGTGGCACTGATGGTGTTACTGATGCAGTGGTGACACTGATGGGGTGGTGAGATTGATGGTGATGATGGTGACACTGATGGTGATGGTGACCTTGATGGTGATGGTGGGGATACTGATGGTGGTGGTGACACTGGTGATGGTGGTGACACTGGTGGTGATGGTGACACTGGTGATGGTGGTGACACTGGTGATAATGGTGACACTGGTGGTGGTGGTGACACTGGTGGTGGTGGTGACACTGGTGATGGTGGTGACACTGATGGTGATTGTGACACTGGTGGTGGTGGTGACACTGGTGATGGTGGTGACACTGGTGATAATGGTGACACTGGTGGTGGTGGTGACATTGATGGTGATGGTGGTGACACTGGTGGTGGTGGTGACACTGGTGATGGTGGTGACACTGGTGATAATGGTGACACTGGTGGTGGTGGTGACATTGATGGTGATGGTGGTG